ATATTTTTGTAATGACAGAGATAATATGATTTGAAATAATATTTTTTTTATATATATAAACTAGACCGTGGATGTATGTGATCAATTTGAATATTACAAGGCATTTAAAGCTAAATCTTTTCTTTTTTTTCATCACACTAAATAAAATTGTATGTTCTTTTATTGAGAAAGTTTTGAGAGAAGTCAAAACTAGACTAGACAATTGGGTTTCCACATACCAACCTTCAAATTATTTAATATAACATAAGAATAGCGTGCTATGCATATAAAATTCACTTATATTTATTATTTCTCATGACTCTACCTGAATTACATACTTCAGCTTTAATGACATGTTACAGTTATTTAAAAAGTAAAATTATTCTGTCAGGACTGCTAACTCAAAGAATTATTCGGAGTCCAATGAAATCATGCCGCGTGGCGGTGACATAAAAAAAAAATCTTACTGGTAACATCAGGGAATATTCCTCTTGTGTTATTCAGATATTATTGTGTGTTATTCAAGTGTTATTGATGTGTTAATTTGTTATTATAATAACGTGAATATTTTAATAACATAATAACACCTGAATAACATACAATAACACATGAATAACACAAAATAACACTGGAGGAATATTCTCTTGTATTATCGGACCGATGATTTTTTTTTTTTTTTGCATCACCACGTGACGTGATCTCATTGGACTCTAAATGGTTCTTTATTTTATGAGTCCTAACAGAATAATTTTCCATTTAAAAGATAATGCAAACATAGTGTGACTCATTTTCAATAATAAAGGTTTATTTTTAAATATATTATTCATACATATTTTTTTCTTAATATAATAAATTAGGCTAAATCAAATCAAACTGAAACTCTACAAATTTAAAATCTAATATACGCGTTATCAAGTTTAATTTCTATCTATAATAATAAGGCAATTTAACTTTTGTACTTACTCCTATCATCAAATCCAAATAAGACCTCATTTAATCATATATATATATATATAACGCAAATTTAAATCAACTCTAATTTTATTTCTTCATAGCTTACATATCAAATGATTTTTATATATTTATAAATGAAAATTTTGAATTTAATTATTATTTCTAAAATATTTTAGTCATAAACATATAGAAATACTTAAATGTTTGTTATAATTCTTAGAGAAATTAGAAATTAGATGTATTTAATCGAAATGCAAATAAATAAGAAAATAATAATTTTGCAAAAAAAAAAAAGTTATATATAATTCTAATTTTAATAAATAAAAAATGAGCCACATAAATTAATAAATATAAATTAATAAAAAAAATTAAAATGAAAGGTCATCCACGTTATAGATAAGACCGTCGCGATTAACGTCAACGTCATGATAAATAATTCTAATTTTAAGAAATCAAAAGAGCCACATAAATTAATTAATATAATTTAATAAAAAAAATAAAAAATGAAAGGTCATCCCCGTTATAGATAAGAGCGTCCACGTCATGATATGCAAAGATAGCACGTTTCCCACGTGGCAGATCTATACGAGAACCTTTCAATGGATGGATGGCAGAAGAACAAGTCAACAAAATTTCAATCCCATATAGAATCACAATTTCTCTCTCTCTCACTAAAGAATATTACATCAATAGCAAAAATGTAAAGTTTTGTATTTTAGTGCATGGTCCGGTCGGACCCGATGTTATTTAAGTGATATTGCGACTGTTTAGATGTTTTTACGAGTCGTGTCGTGTTAGTTATCGAAAAATGAAAGAAAGATTTACATACATATCACTCAATTCATATGTATTTACGTATCTAACACCTGAACTTTAATGTTTTCATACACGACATCGACTCTATGGATGAAAAGGTTTATTTCAAGTTTTAAAAATTAAACTAATGACATTTTTTATGTGATATAAAAATTTTTGGTGATATAAGTATAAAAATCGAAGTATAGTCGCTAGACATGAAAATAAAATAATTGAGTGGTATGTATGTAAATGTCTAAAATGAAAATATACAAAACATGAATATCAGAACATACGGTGTTATATGGTGTTATGAGATATTATTGTTGTGTTATTGAGGTGTTGTTGTGGTATTAGTATGATGTTATTTGAGTGGTATTGTGATGGCTGTGGTGATATTTGATTGTTGATATTTAAGTGTTATTATAGTGTTATTGTTGTATTATTGTTGTGTTATTAAGTTATTATTGAGGTATTATTATTGTGTTATTTGAGTAGCATTGTGGCGGATGTGGTAGTATTCAAATGTTAGTTATCAAAAAATAAACTGAATATTTACATACATACCACTCAATTCTTATGTATTATACAAGCCATTGAAAAGGTTTATTTTAATTTTTAAAAATTTTAATGATGTTATTTTTTATTTGGCATAAAAATTTTTGGTGATATAAATGTAAAAATTGAAGTATATGTGCTAGATGTGTAAATACAAGAATTGGGTGGTATATATGTAAATACCCAAAATGAAAATATACAAAACATAAATAACACATAATTCTTACATTTATACCTATAGAGTATCTATGTTTTTTTATTTATTTATATAACACCCAAATCTCTAAATTACATTAAAAAAATATGCTAATATTAATTGATTGAAAGAGATTTTTAAATGTTTATTGAGGTATTATTTGAGTGTTATTTTAAAGGTATTGCGGTAGTTCTATGATGATATTCGACTGGTGTTATTTTATTGTTATTATAATATTATTGTAGTAGTATTGTGGTGCTATTGGGGAGTTATTGAGTTTTAATTATGATGTTATTTGATTCATATTGACGCGGTTCTCTGGTGTTCTGTGGTGGTATTTGACATATATTATTTTAGTGTTATTGTGACATTATTGAGATGTTATTGTGGTATTATTGTGACGTTATTGAGGTATTATTGTGATGTTATTGTAAATTGAAGTTATTGTGATGCTATTGTGATTGTTATTGTGGTGTATAGACAATTTGCATGCATACCACTCAATTCTTATGTATTTACATATCTAACACCTAAACATCATTTTCTTCGTACACCCATCGATCATATGGTTGAAATGGCTTATTTCAAGTTTTAAAACTTAAAATGATTGAATTTTTTGTGTGATATAATTTTTTTTGGTAATATAAATATGAAAAATAAAAATATAGGTGTTAGATATGTAAATACAATAATTGGTTGGTGTGTTTGTAAATACCCAAAATGAAAATATACAGAGCATAAATATCAGAACATATGTTGTTATTATGGTGTTATTGTGGTATTATTTTGATATTATTGAGGTGTTATTATGATATTATTATGGTCTTATTTGAGTTCGACTATTAGTTATCCAAAAATAAAAGGAAGATTTACATACATGCCACTCAATTCTTATGTATTTACATATCTAACACCCAAATATCAATTTTTTCATACACAACATTGGCCCTATGGATGAAAAGGTATATTTCAATTTTTGAAAATTAAAATGATAGTATTTTTTACGAGATATAAACAATTTTAGTGATGTAAATGTAAAAGTTAAATTATAAGTGCTAGATATGTAAATACAAGAATTGGGTGGTATGTATGTAAATGCCCAAAAATAAAATATACATAACATAAGTACCACATAATTCTTACATATCTACATATGGAGCTTCTACATCTTTATATTTCCTTTTATAACGGCCAAATCTCTAAATGACATAAAAAAAAAATCTATTAATATTAACTGATGAAAGCAAATTTTCAAATGTTTATTGAAGTGTTATTTGAGGGTTATTTGTGTGGTATTGCGGCAATTCTGTGGTGATATTCGACTGGTGTTATTTCAGTATTATTATGGTGTTATTATAGTATTATTGTGGTGTTATTATGGTGTCATTATGGTGTTCATAATAACACCAAAATAATACCGCAATAACACTATAACACAACATATGTTCTAATATTTATGTGTTATTACGGTGTTATTATGATATTATTCTGACGTCATTGAGTTGTTATTGTGGAATTATGTGGTATTTTTTCATAACGTCACACTAATATTGCAATAACACATTAATAACGTCACAATAACAATGAAATAACATCACTTGAGTACTACCACTGAGCCGCCACAATACCAATCAAATAATTTCACAATAACACCTCAATAACACAACCCAACTTGCAAAAACACATAAACCGCCACAATCTCACTTAAATAATGATGAGTCGGACAGGGTCATGCATTAAAATATAGAGTTTTTCAGTTTTTATTCAGTTGGTCCGCCGCTTATACATGACAATTTCATTGAAGTACGGACGCATGACTACGTATGGATTCCTGATGTAATATTTTTTTCACTCACAAACACTTTTTTTCTTTTCTTTATTCTTTTTTTTTTAAATGTGGATCATATTTTACTCTCCTTTTTGGGAGAAATTTGAGAGCGAATCCCTACTTTATTGAAAAATAAAACGGTCATTTAAGTCAAAAATACCATTACAACTCACACAAAAAGAATACAAATCAATTGAAATATTTGGATCACCCTAAATAAGACTAGATGGATAACTACG